AATTTGTTCCACTTGCAATGTCATATGATATGAAGATTGCTTATAAACAAAAATCATCTTTATAAATTATTTTCATTAATTATATTACATGATAATAACGTTTATTGTAACATACTGAATTCTATCACAGCTCATAATTATCTTTTAAATTTTTCAATATTAAAAACGTTAATTTATTTAGAGATTTGAATTATTATCATGAGTTACAGTTATGTATTCCAGCTGTCGGGTTATAAAAAATGTCAAAAGAAAATTGCTATTTTTGCTTTTGATTTTAAATAAATATTTGTTGACCAAATGTTTACAAAACTGTTAACAAATATTTATTAACATTTAGTAAATCGTATTTATTAACAGTTAATAAAGCTCAATAAATATAAACAGATCCTTCTATCAATATCAGTGTAACTATACGGAAATCATATATAATTATATATTAATCATTTATAACTATATATAAATCATGTATGATTATATATAAATCATATATAATTATATATGAGTCATATCTAATTATATATGAATCATATATAATTATATATGAATTTTGTGATTACTATAAAACATTCTCTGTTTTCATCTCAGAGTCTGCTACTCAAATGATTAATAATCTTTTAAACTATAGTTTTTTGTGGATGAAATAATGGAACTGTATTAATTAATTTAACTTATAAAAATCGATTATGTATTCGATTTGCATTAGTTGTAGGTATTTCAAGCTTTACTCTTCCAGTAAGTCTCGTATAGATAAACAGGTAGTGTGTTGGTCTTTGAAGCGTCAGGTCCCCGGTTCGATCCCCGCTCGCGGTGAATATTTTTTATTTTTATAGAAATAATTATATATAATTATATCTAATTATATATGATTAGATCTGGCCAATTTTCAGGTCTAATCTATATATATTATATATAAGAGATTTCCACCTATATAGTCACTCATCACGATATCTCTGGAACCATTAGAGCTAAAGACTTGAAATTTGGTAAGAATATTCTTTTTACCGAGTAGAGGTCAGCTAAGAACGGATTTAACGAAATTCCACCCACAAGGGGGGTTGCGGGGGCGTTAACAATGAAAAATTCCCATTTTTAAACTATAGCTCCTATCGACACCAAATTTGGTAGGAATTTTCTGTAAGAGATGTAGAAATAATGTATGAACGAACTTTACAATATTACACCCCACAGAGGGCTGCGGGGGTGGGTATTAGCAATGAAAAATTTTAATTTTCAAGCTATAGCTCCTACAGACCCCAAATTTGGTAGGAATCTTCTGTAAGAGATGTAGAATTAATGTATGAACGAACTTTACGATATTACACCCCACAGAGGGTTGCGCGGGAGGGGGGGGGGTATTAACAATGATAATTTTTAATTTTCAAGCTATAGCTCTGACAGATTCCAAATTTTATAGGAAATTTCTGTACGTGATGTAAAAATAGTTTATGAACGAATTTTACGATATCCTACCCCAAAGAGGATTGCGGGGGCGTTAATAATAAAAAATTCCCGTTTTCAAACTATAGCTCCAATTGACTCAAAATTGGGTAGGAATATTCTGTAAGAGATGTAGAAATAATATAGGAACGAATTTTACGATACCTCACCTCACAGGGGTTTGCGGGGGAGGGTATTAACAATTAAAATTTGTAATTTCCAAGCTATAGCTCCTATAGACTTCAAATTTAGTAGGAATCTTCTATATGTGATATAGAAATGATCTAAGAACGGATTTTATAACGAATCACCTCCAATAAGGATCGCGAGAGTGGGTGTTGACAATAAAAAATGTTCATTTCCAAAATATAGCTTCTGAAAACTCTAAATTTTGTAGAAATCTTTTATTTCTCCTGTAAACATCATCTCAAAATGGATTTCAATAAAGTTTATTTCCGATAGAAATTGCGGGGGTGGGTGTTAAAATCTAAAATTTTAATTTCCAAACTGTAACTTCGACAGACTTCAAATTTGGTGGGAGTCTTCGTGTATCATGTCAAGTTCAGCTAAGAATGAATTTTATCAAATTCCAACCCTAAAAGGGACTGCGGAGGCGTCAAAAATGAAAATCTCTTTTTGCAAAACAATAGTTTCCATGGGCTCGAAGTTTTGTTGGAATATTTTATTTATTATGTAAAAATCATCTCGAATAGGATCTTACGAAATTTCTCTCTCACATAGGAATGCGGGAGTGATAGTTGTCAAAAAATTCATATTCTTTAAATGTATATTCTACAGATATAAAATTTCATAGAATCTCAAGAGAAACAGGTAATTACAGGGATGGCTTCCAAGGTCAACGGATTAAAATATTTTCCTTTTTTAATAATTATATTTTCTTACAACAATCGTCTCTTTGGAAGCGGCGAAAAAGTCGTTGTAAGATTTCAAAAATTTAACTTTACATGTAGCTATATAGTCAACAGAATGAGTATTTTGCATTCATTTTATTTATGCTGATCACATGAATTGTTCTTATTACGGGATCGCGGGAATGTAATAGATTAAAATTAATACATTTCTAAACATTTGTGATGTGGAAAAGAAATTTGGCTACTCATTTTAAGAGATTTCGTAAAATCAAAACTTAAAATCGTAAATCCAAGAATTATTATTTATTTTTGGAGAAAGCCACGGGAATGTTATAGTGATTGCACATTGAAAGTTACAATAGATATTCGCTAGAATGATGTTATGGATAAAAGCTACAGGCCAATCCGATAGAATTTGGAATCTGTGCAAGTCAAAACAATACTCCAATTGAATTTCAAGTCTAGATCTCAAAATACTATTATATAAAGTGCCCAGCGGAGCGGGCGAGTAACAGCTAGTTATATATAAGTGAGATTATATATAACCATATATGATTAGGCAAATTCATTTTTTTCCGGGTAGAAACAATTATTATGATTTATCACGATGATTATTAATAACTTTCATTATTGTATTATTTTAGTTATTATATTATTGTTACTGTAAGTTTTGATAAAATTATCAGTTTGAAAAGTTTGTAAAATTATTTTGAGGCCCGAGCGAGTCTAGCGTGTAAAAGTAAATAATTATGAAAGAATTTAAAAGAATGGAAAATTATTTTAAGTCTCGAGCCAATTTAGTGAAGAAAAGGAAAATAATATTGTAAGAAATTATTTCAACGAATAAATACTTAGAATCTGGCCGACGAATGGATGGATAATGAAAGAATGCCGATTGAAATTTAGAGTAATTACGAGCGATTGACTAAATTATTTTACGGAAAATAAAAACTTAAAAATTTTCGACGATTGTTGAGCTTGCGCGGGTCTCTATAGAGGGCGACAGTGGGGAAAACATTTTCGTTGTATTCGGGTTCAAAAATATGTTAAGTACTGTCCGGAAAATAAATTTAGCCGTCAATTCTTTCTCGGGGAATTATTTGGAGGAAGACCATTCCACCAGTAATTCTAGAAGATGATCTTTTACCTGGAGTCCGACTAAGACCCAGATAAGTGCCGTGTTCCTACCCGACGAAAGCTTGACTCCCCGTGCCAAGCCCTTCAGCCGAAGTACGGTAGGTGATCATAATTGAGTAGGTGGGGACGAGTGTGAACCATCCACTCATCCTCTGGGACAGTGTAGGGCCTCCAGGGTGGTGACTGCCATCCTGAAGGGTACTGGGGAACTAGCGCGTGTTATGTAGACCGCAAATTTGAATTTAAACCGCGAATACCGTCGTATATGTATGAAAAGAGTATACTATTGTATTGTTTATTGTTAACTGTTGTCAAATTAACATGATCAGACCAATGAAGAGGTCTTCTTTTCTTTGATTTCTTAATTAAAAATGAAGTGTTTATTTTTGTTTTGTCGTTTTTGACGCGATCCCCGTTTAAGACCCTGGACTCTGGCGAGCATAATTCGAGCCGGGGATTGCTAAATATGTGAATAAATATTTAGTTGGATACGTGGTCGTTACAAAATGTATTGTCTTTTTATGTCACTTCTGTAACCGTTTTATTCGGTTGGTGATTAGTCGACTGAGATAAAAGCGGGATTTTTGAAAGGATGAAGGCGCGCGAAGCGCGTATGATCGGTCTAGTAACTTGAAAAAATTCAAAGACTCCTGACCTAATCAAAAATATTCCAATTTTAGATTGAACATTCTAGCAAAGGAGGATCTCCTAGTACGGGAAGTGAAGATGGGACAACCAATGATCTTATGAATGCTGACAGTGAATTTGATCCTTTTCTTGAAAATATACCGGATGACTTACAAGATGTAGAAGAGCCAGATAATGCTAACTCCACTCTATTAACTGCACCACCTGAAAATGAGTACATACTTTTTTTAGACATATTCATAATTTTTTTCGTTGTGTACTGATATATACTTTAAATTTTGAGTAGCTTGTCATTCACTGTACATTTTTAATAGGTGGTATCATGGACGGCTTGACAGATTCACAGCAGAAGAGAGATTATGGGATGCCAATAAAATGGGTAGTTATTTGGTCAGAGAGAGTGATCGAAAGCCCGGAAGCTATGTATTGTCTTATCTTGGAAGAACTGGAATTAATCATTTCAGAATTACTGCTGTCTGTGGAGATTATTACATAGGTGGCCGACAATTCAACAGCTTATCCGATTTAGTGGCTTATTACACTCATTGCTCAGATTTATTAAAGCGAGAGCGACTTATACATCCAACACCACCTCCAGAACCCGTTAATGACAAAAAACGGATTGTCGCTATTTTACCGTATACGAAAATGCCAGATACTGATGAGCTCAGTTTTCAAAAAGGAGATATTTTTTTTGTACACAATGACATGGGAGATGGTTGGCTTTGGGTCACTGCTCATAGAACTGGAGAGCAAGGATTGATTTTTCGAGAATTGGTTGAAGATTTGGATGATTCAATTGATCCCAATACTGTTTTTTCGTGGTTTCATCCAAATGTCACCAAAAGTGAAGCTGTTGACATGTTGGTTAAAGCAGGACCAGGAAGTTTTCTAGTAAGTAAAATTTATTTAAACTAAATAACTTTGTTTACAACGTGATTGATCATTTAGCGGTTCACCTTGAAATCTTACTTTTTTACCGTAATGCGATGGAGGGGCGTATCATAAGAATATACCTGTCTACAAAACTTAGAACACTTGTGAATAACAGAAATTTTGAAAAAATTTTGTTCGATCTTTATCTTTTAAATATTTTTAAAACAACTCGGTTGATTGAGTATTCTGATTAAAGTCGATTGATTTTAATGAATTTCATGAACTACATGTCAATCGTTGATTTATTCTAAAGACACCGTACAATAAAAAGTTTGCCCACTCATTCACACACTAAAATAAAAGCATTGTATTAAAATAGTCAAAATAGTTCTGTAGGATCTCGAAACGACAAGATTTGATATTTATAAGAAAAAATTTAAGTTTTGCAAGTCGAATCTGAATAAATAACTAAAAATTCTCGGGAAACAATTTTTCAATATACGTACAGTCACATAAATCAACATTCATAAAAAAAAAAAGCGAGTTACATTGTATGGAGACAGACAATGATATAACATCATAATTGTGATGTACCTTCATCTATTTAGATGTACATAGATATACGTACATCTCATAATCCATATAATCTGCAAATTACTGTAGATATACACACATCAAAGTATACAAATTTTAGATCAACTTGGATTTACAAAAAAAATAATAGATTATATAGATTATAAGATTAAGATGTATTTTGTACATGTGTCATTTCATATGAAATCACAAAAATTGAAAAATCACATTTTTTTATTAAGCTGAATTTTTGATATCCTTACTTTGTGTGTGTATCAAAAGACGCTTATTTGTAAATTTTTAACCCTTAATTTAAAAAATTTTTTAAATTATAAATTTTTGAAAATTGCAAAAAAATAGTGGTATGTCAAAGTTAAAAAATTCATAACTCTTAATTCTTGATCAACTCATCATAATCTCACGGGTAAGGAGTCATATATAATACCAATTAATAGTGTTAATCCTCAAAAAAAGTTTTCTGCTCTACACGTGAAAATTTGATTTTTCAAATTTGGTGATTTCGTAAGAAATGACCCACATAGATCAACGTACATTGGAGTCAATATGCGGTCATTAAAATACTTTCAATCAGCTGCAGTGAAATATGTATTCTGTGCTTTGTAAGAGCACCATTTCACATCGATTATAACATGTAATTTAAATTTTTAGGTCAGGCCATCGGATAATAGTCCAGGCGATTACTCATTATTTTTTCACATAAATAATCAAATTCAACGATTCAGAATTGAGAAAAAAGGTGTACGATATCTAATGGGAGGAAGAACCTTTGAATGTCTTGACGCCGTTATAAACCGTTACAGGAAAGAACAAATCGTTGAAGGACACACCTTAGTTCAAGCAATGATTACTGAACCTGACGGCAGTGTTAGAGTTAATAGAGAAGTGCAACATGCAGAAAAAATCTATGCAACACTTAGAGAGTGTCGCGAACAATCAGGCGCTAAAAAAAATAAAGGCATAAAAATGCAAGGATACTTGGAAAAAAAATCAGAAAAAAATAAAAAGTGGAAAGCATTATATTTTGTACTTTTAGTAGATGCAACAGATACGCATCTCTATTTGTATGATAATCCTAAACGGACGAAGCCTAAAGGACTCATTGATCTTAGCTGTGCCTATCTATACCAGGTAAACAACAATTTATAAATATATTCAATTTAATTGAAACAATTCAATGTATGTAGTATAGCACTAACTTATAGCAAAAAAATATTTGACCAGATACAAGAAAAATAGAAGATGGGTTGTAAAAATATTGCAAACCTTTTTTTAGCACATATTTGAAGATAGAGTAGTTTAGCATCATTCAATAGTCCAATTTAATATTTTTTTCTTAATATGTGTTGGTTCGATAAAAAAGATTTATATATCATTTTGTTTACTTCAAACAGTATTAGTATATGCACGAATAGTATTGAACTTGATAACCAATTCTCAAGTTATCTGATACAAAATTTAATTCTCTTCATAAATTAACATCTAATTTAATAAACTGGAATTGTTATTAAGATTAAATAAAACATTTTTTTTCGCATTAGCTTCGTACGTCAAGCTTGTCAAAATCGTTTGATTCGTTCTTGAGTTATCGTTGACGCAGAAAATCGATAAAAAGTGATTTTTCCGAATTACACCGGAATTTCCGATCTGATCAATTAGTATTTGAAAGTATATCATAGAATTTGTAGAACTGCGTAAAATGCTGCCATCGGCGAGAAAATCGGTTCATTCATTCAGAAGTTACTGCGGTTTGAAAATTCAAAAAATAGTGTTTTATTAATCTTTTATCAGACTTTTAAGCTTGAAGAGCTTAAAAGCTTAGAACTCTTTGAGCTCGGAAAGCTTAAGATAACACATGAATTATATTTTGATCTTGAAGAGCTCAAAAGCGTCACAAGTGCAATTTTAAGCGCTTAGATATGGAATTAGCGGGAAGTTGCAGGAATGGCCTTTAGGATCAATCGTTTTCCTAATTTTTTTTCTTAGTATTTTTGAAATTTCTCAAAATCTACCGATCCAAATTGTATTAAAAATTTAAGTTTGGTTAAGCCTTTTTGAATGGTACCAACCACGATCAAATCGGTCAAGCCGTTCAAAAGTTATGAGAGGGTTACATACATACATAAATACATACATACGGACTTCGTGATATCCTCAGGAAAATGGTCGAAATCGCTTTTTAGGACCTCAAAACGTGGAGATCTGATGAAACCTCGATCTTTGAAAATCGGGGTAAAACCAATAACTTCCCAATTTTTGATAATTTTCAATTTTCTTAGCGGGAAGTTAAAAATGCGACGTTAGTTTTCTAGCAACGGATTTCTTACAGCGTTTCTTACAGCAGCTGCATGAGTGTACTAAATTTAGCAGAGATACAGTTTTGTATCGCTACGAGAAAAAGGGTGAGGGTGGGTATAAGTATAGTACACACTTGTACAAATCACAAATTAAATTCAATTATGTGTTCAATGAAACTGGTGGCTATCAGTTAGTATTGAATCTTATATTGTAGAAATAATATATTGTGTGATAAGTGATGAAATTATCTTATTTCATCCCGCGGCACACACTATGTTTCTCATATTTCATATAATCTGCATTAAAAGTGCGAGTTTCAATTTCTGGAGCCAACGAAAACGAGAGAATTCAGAACAATAGCGAATAAAAAATCACAGTTATAAAGGTTTGAAATAGAAAAAAAGATACCTTGCCATGATCAATAACATGATCGGTTCCTGTCCGGCAACATTCGCATTTGTCTAAAATTGACTAGTTTTGGGTGGCTCAACAGGCATTAAAACTCACAGTTTCAATGCAGGTTATATGAAAAATATTTTTTAAGCTTAAGGCAGTTTCGTCCAACTTTGTCACGTTCTAAAGTTAAGTATGCAAAGTTAGCATTGACCGACATAAGCATTCATCAACGACTCGGAAACTAATTAAGCAAAACAATCCTGATTAAAGTAGCCGATTATCAAAAAATTTAGCTCCTCAAATCAATTACATTGCTAGAAAAATTTTTGAAACAACGAAATCAAATTTAATTCATCAATCGTTTTATTCATTAAAAAAATACGTTAATTGAATGACACCAAACCGGTTATATATAATCATATGCAGAAAATAGCCAAATATAATTAAATATAATCAATATTTTATTTTATTGAAAAAAACAAACCCAACAGCTTGCGCCATTAACAGGTTTTGTTTTGTCGAAAACTATCGAATGCGGATATTTCTCGTAATTGTTTTAAAAATATGATGAAGTTGGGATTAGGAAGTTAAATAAAAATACTTGGATTTTTTGGGGAACAATTTAGAAGAATTTATTTGTCCCCAAAGGAGGAAAACCCAGCTAGGCTAGGAAAAAACCTCTTTGTTGAAAATTATACAAGTAAGTTGTATGTGTGTAAGTGTGTGTGTGTAAAATTACGTTGCAATAACGCAATAGGGGTGAGCTCAGCCGCCGTATAAAGAAAATTATCGATAATTTGAATTTGTACTGTCCCAAGGCGGGAGCTAGTAATATCTAATTAATTAGGTGAACTGTCTCAAGGCGAGAGCTAATAATGTTCAATTAATTAGATGAATTGTCTCAAGGTGAGAGCTACTAATGTTTAATTAGTTAAATAAATTTTCTCAAGGTGAGAGCTAATAATATTTAATTGTCTCTAGATGAGAGCTAATAATATTCAATTGATAACAGAATGTTAGTCAATTGAGTTTGATGTTTTCGTGTAGAAATTAGTCAAATGATTTGAAGTTGGAATTTAATTATTTATAAGTTAAATTCAATAAGATCGTAATTAAATGTTAATAATTAATTCAATGTAATTAATGGTTAATATCACGCGTCAATTATGGATTGACTAAAGCCGCGTGGCTGATGCAATCCTTTGTCACGGTGGCGCGTAATGGCCGCGTAGCGTCACTAAATAAATTTACTTGATTTTATTTATGTTAATTCACTGAACTATTAAACTGATTTAAATGAATTGAGAATTTAGAGTATAATTGAATCTACTATAATTATTTAGATTTAATGAATGATTTAAATATTTGAATGAATGTGAGATGTAAGTAAGAATTATCAAATTGATTAGCACAGAGTAGTCGTACTAGTACAGAAGTCCAAGCACAACTGTTGCATCAGACCACGCGAGCCGGCTTCTCTACCGCTAACCAAGGCGCGCATGCGCGACGGCCATAGCGTGATACGATTATTCCCGAGTTCATACGATTATTCCCGAGTTTTAACGATTAAGCCCGAAGGCGTAATTCTTCTTATAAGTATTTGACTAGATCTCTTTTCTAGCGGTTAAACAGGTTTAATAAAATTATACATAATTTAAATATAAGTTTATGTAATTACAAAGCTTAACAAGATGTCCTATAACTAATATAATCATTATGCGTAAACTATTAAGTAAAATAAGTAGCTTGGCGGTATATTAGAGATCCTAGATAATTTTACACTGTAGAAAAAGTTTGCACAAATTTACCGCCATTTTATTACCATATTGCCAAGAAACGCCGTATAGTACCTAGTAGGGCAGCACAACGGGTCAAGTGAAGATTCTGATTTACAAAAACGGTTCACCGCATCAGAAATGCGATAAATAGGTACAGACTGTGCGAAATTGGTCCTGGCAGCTGATATGTACATAGGAATATGGTTCCTTACTCCCAGACTAGGCACTTTAAATTTTAACATTGCTAAGAGTTGAGGACAATCCACCAAGTTGTTGAAGAGTTTTGTAGCAAAAGAGCATTCCGTACATAGTCGCCTTTCATTGAGTGTAAGGTATTCACATTCAGTGCATAGTACAAGATTTTCAATTCCTCGAGGCGGATAATATCCAGATTTCTTCCAAATTAAAAATTTTTTTAATTTTCTTTGAACTTTTTCAATTTTGGCGGGATTGTGCTAACTGGGTAGGAGACCAAACTAGCGAGGCATATTTAAGTTTCGGCCTGACAAATGTATTATATAGTAGTTCTATGACCTTCGAGTTTGTAAAGTTTTTGGAAACACGTATAATGTGTAAATTATAAATGTAAATTATAATATATAAATTTGGAAACACGTAAATATATAAATATTTATAACTATTGTTTTCACCAAAAAAATTTTTTTTATTCTTTTTAACTTTCCGCTAAAAAATTGAAAATTAAAAAAATCGGGAAGTCATTGTGGTTTCACCCCGTTTTGTGAAAATCGAGTTTTCATCAGATCTCGACGTTTGAAGGTCACAGGAAGCTTCCCTGACTATTCTCGAGGTGTTGTCCGTGCGGCTGTGTGTGTGTGTGTGTGTGTGTGTGTGTGTGTTTTTTTTTTCCAAAGAGGTACGAAAAAAGATCTTCAAAAGACACCGCTATCGTTAACTCTGCCGCCCATCTTACGGCAGATATCGATAGTCGGTAGTGTGGAGATTTTTACCCACTAAAAAAAAAAACATTCCTCTTCCCCTCTCCCCTAGATGGTACGGGGAGGACTGGATTGGAACCGCGTTAGCATTACTTCAATCCAGCCGTGCTGCGTCTCACGACGCCTACTCCTGGCTACTGGTCTCTTTCTGCGATATTGTCTTTCAGGAGGTGCTGTGCATAAGCTGCAACAGCTGACCAGTTTTCCTCTTGTTTAATCATATAGGTCACCAGGCTTGAGGGCGAGAGCCTGGTGCCTATGATCGCTTCGGTGCTTGTTCTGTAGTCCTTTCATCGCGCACACTCAAAGAATGTGTGTTCGGCGTCGTCGATTTTATCCGGGCAGTATTTGCATGCTGGTGTGTTGTGTAGACCCATCTTGAAGAGATAGGCGTTGTACTACCCATGTCCTGTCAGTAGTCGGGTCAGGAAAAAATCCGTGTCCCCGTGTTTCCGAAAGAGCCAGGCGTTGATGTTTGGGATCAGTCGCGCTCTCCATCTGCCTGTCTCTCCCGACGTCCATCGGTCCTACCACTCTTGCTGCGTTTCCGTTTTTATCCTCGTTATTACCTCCTTCATGTTTTCACCACTGATTTTAGCGTCGTAGAGTCTTGCTCGTTCGAACGCTAATAGGTCGATGGGCGCAGCTCCCGCAATGACCAGTACAGCCGCTTCGAAAACCGTGCGGTAGG